AAGTAACATTGTCCTTCCTGATGTTTGAATTAAATATTTGTTGAGATTGTGATTACTTGAGTTTGCTCTGGTCGGGGAGGGGAGGAGGAGGGGGAGGGCTGGTGGGCACCGTCGTGGGGGTGCTGCGGAGTCGCTGGTGATGGTGCAGCACCGGTGCCATGGGTGTCGACGATGACGATCACGAGGAGGAGGACAGCGACGAGGAGCGGATCGAGATTGGGCAGCCCACGGACGTGCCACACGTCTCGCACATCACTTACGACCGTTTTGGCGGCTTCCTCGGCCTCCCCGCCGACCTCGAACCAGACGTACCGCGGCGCATGCTCAGTGCCAGGTGAGCTCGCCACTGCCATGCCGTGCGAATGATTAAGCATTGATTACCTTTTTTTGTCTCTTGGATTTTTCCCTTGATCTGTAGTTTTGTGTGCTTTGATTTTTCGATTGCTTCCATGACGGAATTGTAGCTTTTTGATGAAGTGGGCGTTGGCCAAACACGCCGCGTGAAAAATGGTGTGTTCCTAAATTCAGTTTGAGTGGCGCACTGCACTCTATAGAAGTTTAGGCACATTGTTTTCAGGGGGATGTTCCTAAGCAAGCTGATCAACAAATTTAACCCTGTGCTTTTTGAACCTGCCATCGCTAACTTGTATTGAGTCTTGACGAAAGGCTGTGAATCGCGATCAGGTCGGTTGTTCACTAGGCTGTTAATCTAATTTAGTCTTTTCACCAACTAATTTGGTCATGCAAGTCGGTTGTTCACTAGGCTGTTAATCTTCTGAAGTTCTCTCAATTTTGCTGTCTTTCACTGGTCCTCGATGGATCAACTTTCAGTTTGTGTAACCATGACTTTCTAGGTAAGATCTTGTAATCAGCTAAGACCCAAACACTTTGTGTTTTTCTTTCTAATATTGTCACAATCTTGTCATCAGCTAAGATCTAAGTACGTGAATGTCACAATCTTGTCACAATTTTAGTTTTAGTTTAATAGAGCATGGAAAGGCTTGTAGATTATTTTTGTTAGCAGTTTGAGTTTCCAAGTCCAACTGTAGATCTGTTGTGTTTCTATTTCAATCAATTGTTTTCGATCTCACACCATCATTTATTAGTTTCTTTAAAATTTCTGAATGATTGCCCAATTGCTCATGTTTATATATAGTTAGCATCAGTTTACCGACGTTCCATATATTCACAGCTTACTTGCAGTAGTTGCTCTTTTCACCAACTGACAATAGCGAAGTGAATAGCTGCACATTTTTTTAACAAAAATGAACTCGCTATTCATCTCAACTTCATTTACCTTCCACATAAGTTCAAGCATCATATAATCATAAACCACATTAATTTAGCCTTAGCCAACATATCTGATTGATTCTACGATCATGAATAGGGTGATATGATACAAATTACTTTGAATGCAGTCTGAATGGTGCGCGATCTACTGTGTTCTAAGGAATTTGCTCATGCTCAAATCTGATTGATAGCCAAAGCCAACCGACATGCAAGTTCTTACACTATTCATCAATTTAATGCTTCATGGATTTCACTTATATTTCATTAAGTTATTACTTGTATGTTTGATAGCCAAAGCCAACCGACCTACTACCCATTGCGTAACTCACCACAACTACTTAGGACATGAAGTTCGCTGACCAGGCGATCATCGGTGATGGGTGTCTAACAGGTTGACCATTGCCTTCTTTGTTCCCCTGTAGAGTTTTTAAAGTCTAAACTGTTAAACTGTATTTTTCTTATTAGCTTTTGTAGCTGCAATGTTTATGCAAGTGTCATCAGAAGGACCTATTAAGTAATTGTCCTATCAAGTATATACTACGAGCTTGTTGACTGATAGTTAAGTAATCAATGCTTTTAGGCTTAGGTTAAGGCCTTGTGTTGGGCCCGAGGTTTAGTAGGGATTGTTTGATACCAATCTTTTTCTTCCTTCGGAATGCCATCATCTGCAAAAGGCTTATTCTTGTCGTTAACATGAGGCTTCCTTTATGAGGCTTTCCATGGTTTTGTAGAACGACGACAGTACATAAGGAGGCATCAATGAGCATAAATTGAGTGATTAATTTTCATGGCACTGCAAGCTTTCACCGCACTGCACGCTTTCACCTCCGGGTTGTGAGAGGTCGGGTGATTTGTTGGAGCAGCTGGTATTTAGGCAAAGTATGGGCACTAAACTAAAAAACTATCTACGTAACTACAAATACGGTTTGTGATTGTTGTGAGTAGGAGATGCATGGGTATTTAAATAAATGTCTCCATCCAAAATTACAACTATGGGCTACAAACGGATTGTTGCGAACGTCACGGTCGAAATCATTTTTTTAACAATACAACGCACGATCGAATTTAAATTACCGTGGCATTATCTTGTTCTCGTTGCAACGCACGGGCATGATCTTAGCCGCATCACAGAAAAGTCTATACAATAGAGTTGTGAGCCTGCGACGCCGCGCTCTCCGTGACTGTTAATTTCACAAACTATGCTTTTTGGATTAACTGTCACTTTAACGTTGGTATTTAATTTTTACGGTATTATTATCTTATCGTACGATCCGTGTGTTTTTACTACAAATTATTAGTTATCCCGTAGCAACGCACGAGCACGCTATCTAGTAAGGCACAGAACCAGGGCAGACAATCTCAACATGACTTTTTTTTTCAAAAAAAATGTTCGAAACATCATCTTGGCAGATGTTTGGCTCACCAGAAGGTTCCTCTATTTGCCCAGACGCAGGAGTACAGGGAACTATTTAGGTGATAGAATGTTAATTAATGAATGGGAAACAGTCTTCAACGATCTGTCTATTTATAGAAACTAGATATTGCTGCTACAAACATGGCTATAAACTAAATCGGATAAAAGCAGCAGTCTTTTATCTTTGTTCGCATCTCAGTTAAATCATACTCCCTCTGTTACAAAGTATAAGTCGATTTGGTTGTTCTAAATACATAGATATTGCTATGCATCTACCTACTATCTCAGGATAGTAACTATGTATCTACCATGTTAGATGCGTAACTATGTGTCTAGATACGCAACTATGTATCGGTACAAGTGACGGACGGACACTAAGCAATCTGCATCAGAACTCAAAAGATCGAGCTGGGTTCAGTACATCAAACACTGACTGATCAGCTCAACGACACATATGCGAGCACTGATCAGCTCACCACAGTCCTGCACTCATGTTGACGCCTCCGGGCAGCGAAGCATGTTTGCGACCACGCTGGGTACATTCGCAGCAGGGCTAAGAACAATACAATCATCAACACACTGGGAAAAAAATACGATACAGCATGAGGAATTGAGAAAACTGGTTGTGACTACAGAAGCACCATGCAGCGTGTGAAAACTCGGAATGTCTTAGTGTCCAGAACAATGGCCACATCACATTTTGTTCATTCAAAAAGTTTCAGGCCTTACTGGGAGAATATCATCGCCTGTCTTTATGGATTATTGGAGCTTCACAATCATTTAGCCAAGTTGCAAACCGGTTTGAGAGGTCAGTTGAAGCAATTAGTAGAAAATTTGTCAAAGTTTTGGACAGTGGCAATCTTCTTGCTAAAGATCTTATCAAACAAGAGACCGAGAGTTCAATTAATTAAGTGCGCCCTAAACTTGAAAATTCCTTGTTTTACACCACATTTCAATAATTGCATAGGCATAATAGATGGCAGGGATGCAAGCGGGTACCAATGGTGTTTATTTGGGTCGGCTAACTAATTACGGTCAAATTCCATTCTAGTTCATTTTGTCCTCTCCCATCAAATTACATGAATACCATTCTAGTTCATTTTATCAAGTTTTTGGGACGACTCGATGACCCAAAATATTTTTGAACTTGCATCCTAATAGATGGTACACATGTACTTGTTAGCGTGCATTTTGTCAATGTTGATTCACGTGTTTGAACATATGGATATATATGCTACTTAAAATGTGTTGGCCATATGCGAAAAAATATCTTCCGATAACCTCTTTAGTTGGAGCTCCAAATATAAACATCCTCTATTTCGGATTTTTCACTAGCCAAAGATGAAGTGAGGATGATTCTCTAGAGTGTGCACGAGTTATAGAAAAGCTGTTGGAGGATACAAAGATATAAAAAACGACTTTTACTCAAATAATTCTCCATAGAGAGTAAATTTTAGAAAGATCCTTAAAGATGCTCTTAAGAGAGAGAGAGAGAGAGAGAGAGAGATTTTGATAAGTGCCATCAATATGAAAATTACATGACCGAGGCATCGTTATCCCAGGAAATGTTGGCAATAAAGTAGCTAGGATATAGAACTCCTGACATGAATGTGTCTCGTGATAGTATTGCTAATGCTTTGTTTGCTACGAGGGAGTAGTTTTGATGTATTATTTCTAAGGGCAAATTTATGATCATCATACAATGTATCTTTGGCCAGTTTTCTTATGAAGAAATAAGGATAAAAGTAGGGAAATAATGCTCTAAAATGGATAAAAATAACTAGATTTACATCCGACAATGCAGGACATTACAGTATACAATCTGCAAGCTGCTTTTCATGGTCCAAAATCAAAGCAAACAGGGCTAATTATTTTGGTCAAATATTTCTGGACTGTACATTTTTCCTTTTTGTTTTTTTAAATGTAAACTAGCAGGACCTGCCGTTTATTAAAAAAATAGGAGAAGTAACAAGGCCTAGACCAAAGGAAAATAAAACCAACACATTGCACTTCACGGAGAAGAAGAAAAGGTATCAAACATTACAGGCGTATATGATTGGCAAGATCTCAGCAAATTCGCTCTTGCAGTGCACAGGGTGTGGGCCTCCTCCTTGACTACATTTTTCTTTGGCCGTAAAGCAAGCACTTAGATAAAAACAAAGTCATATTAAGTTGAACTTAAGGACAAATATTTAAGTTGCTTCACTGGGAAGACAATATCTTTTATCTTGATTATATATAAGCCCCCAAATTTCCTTCAGCTACTTGATAGATCTTTAATAAGCCTCATCTCACTTCAATTGCACATGCCGGTTGGCCTGCAGTCAAATAACGCCATACTCAACAAATCAACGATAAAAAGGAGAACAAAGAAAACAACCAAGGATCCATCCAAATATGCTTCTGTAAGTTTGTGCCCTATCTTTCCTTACAAACACCCAACCTCTGATATAATTTCAGATAACACAGATTATAATTAAATTAAGGAGTAGATTACCTGTCTGAACCGCTGCCTCTGGAGGCAGAGCCAGTGATCTCAGACATCCCAATTTCTCTGATACAACGACTTGCATCAATTTCTTCCAGAATCTGAAAGGGAGGAGAAAAGAACAGTATCAAAGCACAGTATGACATCTACCTTCAGTTCTTCACTCTTTTTGATCAAGTACTATACTATTGTTACCAACAAAACCACAATACCTTGGGCCACTTTCTGTAAAAGAACCAAACCCAACCGAGCACTATTGAGCAGAGGCCTATGATTCCGATGAGCCATAAAACCAAGTCGGAGGCATTTGCAAAAGCCCGCAGTAGGATACAAAATAGTGCATAAAGGAATGCCAGCACTAAAAGCATCAGCCATTTAAGGATTCCAGGCTCACAGCCGTCAATGGACCCCCTCTCTTTCAAGTATGAAGCATGGATTAACAGAATGAAATTGCTTAGTGATGCTATGAAGATTCCTATGAATATGGCCATCCAAATTCCTTCGACACTCCCTTGTGGCTTTTGGGCGAGCAAGTATGCATACGAGAGAAAGATACCACCACTGATTCCAAACAGCTTTTCCACCATAGTGTAGTAAGAACCCAGTAAACCCTGTAGTAAGATAAACAAGATTTAACTAATTGGAGATAAAGTCAGCATAAATGAATTCCAAAAACATCTACATGAACATTACTGTTGCCAAGATATCTAAATAACCCAGATATGAGTAACTGGCTGGACTCCTTTGAGTAGACTTTTTTTGCTATTATGTTTCCTTTTTCTTTTTCTTTTGCTTTGCAAATAACTTTTTTTATTATTAATATACGACGAGTAGGGGCTTGTCACATCTGTTCTTTGAAAAAACAAATGTATCTAAATAGATTTTGACGGATTGGTGTGTTCGAATGGTAGCCAGAGCGGTAAAAAGAGAATGGGTTAAATCACCTTCATTGTCTTCTCGTTTTCTGCAGTATTGGCTGCCAACTGTCAAGCATGAACAAGGTGAAATAACCATTAGAGAAGAAAATAGAAGGAGAAGGTACAGAAGGAAATCGATATAATAAATATGTATCACCATATATATATGACACCTGGGTACTGACCTTGCAGTTCTCCATCTGAGGAATGATATTCTCTAACACATCAAGCATCGAAGCAAGTGTCTTCAGACTTCAGGTGAAGTACCCAGAATTTCTCAATTTCATTACTATCGTTTTCATGGGAATGGCTTCCATCAGCTCTCATTAAATTGGTCGGCTCCTAATATTCTCCAAAGAGGCAAGAAGCCACATTATCATTATGTTCATAGTGTCCTATACAGTTCATGGGCATGCACCTAAAACAACTATACAAGCAGGAAACATTATGTGGCCAGTAACGAAGTCCAGCAGGCTTTAATTTGACATGGAACTATAAAAATTTTATTTGTTAAGGTAAATAAATGTATACAAGAATGGGACAAATTACCTCATCATATTTTTCAGAAGCTGCATGCCCACCACAAGAAGCGTCCATATAGGTTAGTCTACCGCACATCTGCTCACTATTAGGCACATCAACGAGACATGATCATATGAAAACTGAGAAAATGGAGGGACTGAGTTTAGCAGCATAGAGGAAAATGAGTATACCTAAGGTGGACAAGTCAAGCAAAGATGGACAGCAAATCGTCCTGAAAATAGCAGATGTTAGTAAAGTGCAGCTCACTGCCGCATCTGACAGCAATCATAATAGGAGTACCACATCAAGTGCTTGGAGAATATTTGGTTGTTCAAAAGACTTGATGTTACGCCTGGAGCTGCTCCTATTCATCAACTGGCAACAAGCGAAGAGGACACTGAACCAGAGCTGGATACTGTAATTCCAAGTGGACGGCCCAAGCGAGTGCGCAGGCCCAATGCCAATGTAATAGGCCCAGAATGGGTTTAGTTCCTAGTACTTAAGCTAGCACAGGTGTGTGTAATCCTCAATCTTTGATCAGTTAATGGATGAAGTGGCAAACTTTCAGTGGTTTTCTACATTGGACCTCAGGGCTGGATTTCACCAACCCCCGAGAGGAACCTAAAACTGCTTTTCAGACTCACTTTGGCCACTATGAGTTCACTGTTATGCCCTTTGGTCTCACTGGAGCTTCAAGAACCTTTCAAGGATCCATGAACTCTACATTGGCTCTTGGGTTAAGGAAGTTTGTGTTGGTCTTCTTTGACAATATCCTAGTGTACAGTAAATCTTGGGAAGATCATATACATCATCTAGCATTGGTTTTCCAGTGGCTTTCTAATGACCAATGGCAGCTCAAGTTCTCTAAATGTAAGTTCGGCCAGCAATCCATAAGTTATTTGGGCCATGTCATCAGTGCTACTGGACTAGCTACTGACCCAACCAAGATTCAGGCAATTCAAAATTGGCCTGTCCCTACTTGTGTCAAGGATGTTAGGGGCTTCTTGGGGCTTGCTAGGTATTACAGGAAATTTGTGAAGAATTTGGCCTCCTTGCTAAGCCACTCACTGATCTGCTGAAAAAGGATACACCCTTTCACTGGACCTCCTTGCATATGTCAGCCTTTCAGCAGTTACAGGCAGCTCTCAGTTCTGCTCCATGTTTGGCTCTTCCTGACTTCTCCTTGCCATTCCATATAGAGACTGACGCTTGTGCTACCGGAATTGGTGTAGTGTTGCTTCAAAATGGACATCCATTGGCCTATATAAGTAAGGCATTGGGTCCTTGGAGTCAAGGCCTTTCCACATATGAAAAGGAGTACCTTGCCATCTTGGTTGATGTCGATCAATGGCGACATTATTTGCTTCACGGTGAAATTTTCATTCACACCGATCAGCAGAGCTTGGTCCACCTCAATGAGCAGAGATTACATACCCATTGGCAGCAGAAGGTCTTCACCAAGCTTCTCGGCCTGCAGTACCACATTATCTATAAACGCAGTGTTGATAATAGTGCAGCCGATGCTCTCTCTCGCTATCTAGCACCTTCTCAGCTGATGGCGGTGTCTGCAATTGCTCCTGTGTGGCTGGCTGACGTCCAGGGTTCTTATCCTTCAGACCCTGAGGCCCAGACTCTATTGGCTGTTATGAACCTTAGTTCATTTGGGGTATAGAGATAACCATTGCTTGGAAGGTGACCGGGCAAAGTAGGTGTGGAGGGAGACTAGAGTATTTGGGGGAACTGGATTGTTTGTTCTTCCTTCATTGCTTATCCTCTCCTTGGTACATCACCTCCCTTTAAATAGAAAGGACTCCTGGCCACCTAAGGAAGGCCCAATCAAATCATAACAAATCATATCCAATCCTATCTCTAATTGACCCAAATCTAATCCTATCTCTAACCGATCAAATCCCTCTAATTGATCTAATCTAATATCTTTCCTAATCCTTATTCCTTCCTTAGCAAGTATGCTATAGGCCATGCAAATATTCTAAGAGACAAGGTTTTTTCTCTCGTACCTCTCGATGGGTGGTGAAAAAAGACCGGTAGAACTACCCATCAGAGCAGTGGAGACACGGACAAATAATAATAACATCATCGAAATTCCCTCCCCACCAGGAAAAAAATCTAAGAGACAAGGTTTTTTCTCTCGTACCTCTCGATGAAGCGCCCGTGTTCCCCTTGAAAAGAGCTTGTCCATCGCCACGCCGTGCGGACGGCAATATAGCACGCTCACTTCACAAACTTATAAATATATTTCCCTGCATTCCCTGTCCAGTTGTCGGCCCATCGACAGATAGATAACCCCTCTCTTCTTTCCGTGTCCTTTTATAGAATGGAGGTTTCGTGTGAGGCCCATGATGGAATCCGTCGTCCAAAGGGGGAAAAGCGGAGATGTGACATCAACAAAGGTAGTTAATCATTTTTTTTTTCGAATTGATAACTATCGTTTTATATGCCCAGCGCAGCAACAAGTCAACAACACAATGGCACGCCCAGCGCAGCAACAACACAATGGCACAACAGGAAAGCTGGATGGACGCCACGTGCGCCTGAAATCCATCGCACGGCAGGTAAAAGCGGGCAACGGCAGGGTCCGATTCCAACGCCAGGCAACGGCACAAGGCTCAGCTCCATCTCGTCCCATCACAATTCTCCTCCCATGCGCGTGGGCCCGAAGGGGCCAGCAGATGGGACACCCCAGGCAGCAAAAAGCTGGACCCGTACACGTGTAGAGGCCTGTTTCGCTAGACTCCGGGAGGCGTGTGGACCGCGTTGGAATATTCCCGCTGGGCTATTTCCGAAGATGGGCTGGGCCGCTCGTGTGTTTTTTTAGCGAACAAAGACTTGAGCGCAGGCCTGCCCACACCAAACTTCAGATGATAAGACGGAGGAGGGGGAAGCCCGGGAGGCTATTTTTGCCCACCATGCTCCGCCTCTGATTACTCCCCCTGCATCGGCTCCACCTCTAGAGTCACTCGTCATCGTTGGCTCTCAACTTGATCTGCAAAACAATTCGTCCATTTTTGAGCTTGATCGAACTCCTCCATTTTTTAGGGGAAAGAAGGAAGGAGGAAGGAGAAGGAAGAGATCAGAGGGGAAGAAGCAAGGACGACGGGAGAAGAACCAGAAAGCGTCCTGTCCTGCTTACCAGAACTCTTGGTCGAAGTGGAGAACAAAAGTATTTGTTGGGCGACTTAACTTCTCATTGTATGAGTAATTTGTTGGGAGTAGTATATAATATATAGAAGAATGAACTCTTCTTTGTGCTTGTGCCAGATCCAGAACCGCTTACCCACCTGGCCACATGAAAATTTCGCTGATGAACAAGTTAACTGGCTGGCCCTCAGCCAATCCAGCAAAACCATAAACTGAGTTTGCACTTACCTGCTGAAACGAAAACTTGCAGCCTCGTTACAAATTGCAGAGCAGGAATCCGCCATTTTGTTGCTGCCTGCTTCGCCGTGGCCGCATGCACCGAGCTTGCTTTCGAAAAACACAAAAGCACTTCAAAACTCAAGTTAACCTAGAGTTTTTCCAAACTAAAGCTTGAAATGTGATGGAACGTTACCACGATAGGACGGAGAAGAATAGACAGCAGGCGTTGCAGATCTGGCATTGTTGCAGTTCATTCCTCTCCGACAAGCCGGAGGGCCGGCCTACACGCATCGTTATTGCTCCAGCTCCAGAGGCGTTGACCTGCGAGCGTCCAACGATGCAAGGCTAAGAGGCAGACGTTGGCTATTTAAGCCAGGCTGCACAGAATCACAAAGTGGGCAACATGTGGTGACTCACGCCTTTACATCATGACCCACTCGTCAGTTTTTAGTGTGTATATATATATATATATATATATATATATATATATATATATATATATAAAATTCAAATGGACCTGACCTGGCTTATCTTGGTAGTTGCGTACCAAACCAAACGCGGCCCACTGGGCTTTGGTTGATCCAGAGGTTAGAGCAAGTATAGTAAATCTTACTCGCAGGCTGTTAGCTAATCCACATCATCAAAATGCTAAGTTGCGGAGAGAGAAATCAAGTAAGATAATGAAGCGGGCGCTTGCCTTACCGCCCGGCGCAGCACGCGTAACGAGACAAACAGCTTGTGTGCGGCCTACATGCAGCCATGGGAGGGCCAAAAGAAGACTCTTTCTTCCCTGCAAGCCTGCTAGTATTAAATGTCTAAATTTCCTTTATAGCTAACCTCTTAGCTTGCCTAGTATAGGTGATGGCTTAGAGCAAGGTCAATAACAGAGCCAAGTTATAAGAGCCAAGTTATACAATAATTGTCATATTTGTCTGTAAGAAAAAATTTTCTTTCCTATTCCTTCTCACAACACTTGCTATTTGGGCCCACCACTGCATATGCATTCGTGCCAAGCTTGGTGCTTACATAAGAGTCAAGCTATCAACTCTCTCCTCTCTTGTCTCCTCTATATCAGCATAAGCTTGACTATAAACCCATTATTATACTAGCTCTTATACTCTCGCACACGGCCTGCTTGAAGCCCACGGTTGGCGTTTCTATTGGCCTTGCTCTTATCCACTCTTTGCCATCACATCTCATTCTAGCACTACTACAAAATAGCACTTCACTGTCGCCCTCATCACTGCCGAAATTAGGAGAACCAGCAATGTTTATCCTTCACTGTCAGTTCTTGGCTCTGAAAATCAGAAACTGATTTGGGATGTGACCAAACCGACAGTGATGACAACTATCAATGCCGGTTTGTGTCTCTAACCGGCAGTGGCTTGACGACCACATATCACTGTCGGTTCAAGCCAAGAGCCGACAGTGATTGAGCTCTATCACTGTCAGTTCTAGCCAAGAACCGACGGTGATAAGCCTACGATGCAAAAAGGCTGCAACCGTCCTCTCCTTCCTCCTCTCTTCCATCTCGAGAATAGAGGTGCGCGTTTGGGCCCTTCCCTCCATTGTTGCGGCTGCTCTTCACCATAAAGCTAGCGCTTGGATTTTGAAGAATGGCTTGATCTTTTTACTTTAAGGTTAGTAACAAACATCCACTCCTTTGATTTTGTTGCTTAATTAGCTTCGTTTTGATGGCTACATTGCTTGATAATCATTCTAGTTCTTTTTTTATTCTAGAGAGCACTTTTCTAATTGGACATTTGTGCAAGGCTCAAATTATGGTGAATCCATCATTCAAAATATTGGTGTCTATGAACACATTTAAATTCTTAGCTAATTATTTCATGGTGGTCAAGATCATCATTGTTAGTATGTGATGCTATAATTAGTTCTTAGAAGTAGAGTAGATTCTGAGAAAATTAATCTATGTGTCACATAGCAACGCATTGTTTGGAGCTACATTGTTGTTCATGATCATGTCTCCAATTTTAGACTTTTTTTATAATTAGTATCTCCATTTTTATGTGGCATGGAGTAGAATAATTATTCTTCATTATTGTGCAATAATTTTTTTATGGGGCTGCGTTTTTTAATTTATATGGGCATTGTTTGGAGCTACATTGTTGTTCATGATCATGTCTCCAATTTTAGTCTTTTTTAAAATAAGTGCCTCCATTTTTATGTGGCATGGAGTAGAAAAGTTGTTCTTCATTATTGTACAATAATTGTTTTTTACTATGATTTTCAACTTACAGGGGCCGGGGCTACCAATTTCAATTTTTCAATAATTAGTGTACAATAATATTTTTCAAAAATGGTACTTTTAAGCTAGAATTGTTATTCATGAAGCTCGATTTCTTATTAATTTTTTGTAATTACTGTCTCAATTTTTTGTGCAGAGATGGATCGAGAGTGGATGCATCTGTCCCAAACGGACAAGCGGTACATGCATGACGTCAGCTAGTTTATCACTGATGCCAAAGCCCATGCTGGGAATGGGAACCCTATCTTCTACCCATGCAAAGATTGCAAGAATCAAAGGAACTTTCATCAAATTGAGTCTATACGATCGCACTTGATTAGAAATGACATACTTGGCAGAAATGCTCCCAGAAAAAACGAGTTGCCAGAAATGACATACTTGGCCAAGCAAATGATCTGCCCCATCGGCCTTGAGGTTGAAAAAATCCACGTGTGTTCCAATGATTGCATATTGTACCATAGAGAAAAATACAAAGACTTGGACAAGTGCCCCCAGTTTGAAGCTCCATGGTATAAGGAAGGGCTGTCAGATGAGGGTACCAAGGCCAGAGGAGGTCCCGTAAAGGTCGTTTGGTATTTCCATATACCTCTCCGGGTGCATAGGTTGTATGCATGTACAAAGTCAGCCAAGCTGTTGCGCTGGTATGACGAAGAGTGTAAGAAAGATACAATGATGAGGCACCCCGCCGATGAGCATGATTGGAGGACTGTCAATACTATGTTCTATAAGGACATCGGTGGATAGGTAAGGCACCTTTGGTTTGCTTTGAGCATAGATGGGATGAATTCTTTCAACCAGGTAGAAGCAATCATAGCACCTGGCCAGTGACGCTCTATATATACAACATTCCACCTTAGGTCTGTATGAAGCGGTCGTACATCTAGATGCCACTACTGATCCAAGGGCCAAGATAACCTGGGAATGACATCGATGTGTTTCTAGAACCAGTGATCGATGAACTAGTAGCGATATTTAAAAAGGGTGTGTCGGATGTTTGGGACGAGTACAAAAAGGAACATGTCATGATCAAGGGAGTACTTATCGCTACAATCATCGACCTGCCAGGTCGAGGTTCGTTGTTCGGAAAGAAGACAAAAGGCTATACTAGATGTGTCGAGTGCTTGGACGACACCGATGCAGTAAATCTACCAAATAACTCAAAGATAGTTTATATGGGACAGCATAGGATCCTACCTAAGGATCACCCTTACCGCAGGAACAGAAAAGATTTCAACGGTACTATTTAGAAACGCTTAGCTCCAAAATATCAAGACAAGCCTGCGATACTTCAAGAACTCAACAAACTAGAGGTTGTCCTTAGGAAGGGGGACAATGCAGTAGCAGCGCCAGATGGGAGCATTTGGAAGAAAAAAAATCAGTTTTCTAGAAACTACCTTACTAGCCATTTCTGAGTGTATGTCACTGTCTTGATCCCACGCACATCACCAAAAACATGTGCGCTAACACGCTTAACACCTTGATGGACACTGGGGGGACATCGAAGGATTCACTAGGCACACGTCTGGACATGCAACACTTGGGAATCAGGAAGGAGCTGCATCCCGTAGAGCTAGAGAATGGCCTGTTCGAACTTCCGGTTGCATCATGGACATTGAAGAAGGAAGAAAAGCGTGCGCTTATTTCTTTCCTCAATGAACTCAAAGTTTCGACAGGCTACTGTGCGAACCCAAAGAGGCTAGTGAACATGAGAGAACTTAAGTTCAACTATGGCCCTATGAAGGCCCATGACTGTCATGTCATTATGACTCAGCTGCTCCCTATTGCCCTGTGTGGTATCCTCCCCCCAAAGGTCCGCGCCCCAATCATAAAGTTGTGCTCGTTCTTCAACGCGATCTCAAAAAAGGTCATTGATATGTCCATGCTAGAGAAGCTACAGCGGCACATAGCCGAAACTCTCGTTAGGCATGAGATGCATTTCCCGCTGACTTACTTTGATATCTCATTGCATCTGCTCATTCATCTTGTTGACCAAATTAGAGCCCTTGGCCCAATGTACCTACATCAGATGTTCCCTTTTGAAAGATTGATGAAAGTTTTCAGGAGGTATGTTAGGAATAGATTCAGGACAAAAGGGGGCATGGTTGAGGATGGTCAACAGAGGAGGCCATTAAGTTCTGCACATATTATTTGGACATCAAAAGGGTCGGAGTTCTAGAATCTCGTCACGAGGGAAGACTATGTGGCAAAGGAACGATCGGGGAGAAATATGTTATAGTAGATGACCCTGTTTCTTTCAGACAGGCACAATTCGCTGTTCTCCAGCAAGCCGAGGGTGTGATGCCATACATTGACGAGCACAGGCAATCGCTGCAAACTCTATATTCGAGCAGGTCACAGGCTTGGCTGGATAAAAAAACATAAGGAGGAATTTGTCAACTGGTTACGACGCCGCTTGCTTGGAATAAAGTTGGGTAATCAACTGGATACCTTAGTCAATGGACCTTTGAGTACATATCTTAAGTACCAAGGGTATGAGATCAATGGATTCATATTTTACACAAAAAAGCAAGATGGAAAGAGCACATACCAAAATTGTGGTGTTAGTTTTGATGCTCACGATGAAAACGGCAATGTGCAGGCGACATACTATGGTTTCATAGAGGAGATATGGGAGCTAGCCTATGGTCCATTGAAGGCAACTTTTTTTCGCTGCCAGTGGGTCTGGCTCGAGGAAATCAATACTGACAGTGAAGGGTTCACTACCGTTGATCTCACTAAGACCACATACAGAGACGACCCCTTCGTCCTTGCAAGAGATGTTATGCAAGTCTTCTATGCAAGGGACAACAAGACAAAAGGAAGGCTAAAAGTAGTCCTAGAAGGAAAAATGAAGATTGTCGATCTCGATGGAGTGACGGACGAAGAAGACTACAGGGGCTATCAGGAAATGCCTCCATTTGGGGCAAACGTAGCCCTACCTATCCTTCAAAAGGGTGATGAACCTGCTTACGTAC